AAACAAACAAAAAAATCCAGCCAGGCATGGTGGCACAGGCTTTTAATCCCAGGAATCAGGAAGCAGAAGCAGGCTGATCTCTGAGTTCAAGCTCAGCCTGGACTACAGAGGGAGTTCCAGGATAGCCAGGGCTATATAGAGAAAACCTGTCTCAAAACAAAAAATAAAAACAACAACATCTGGGCAGTGGTCACGCACGTCTTTAATCTCAGAACTCGGGAGGCAGAGGCAGGCAGATCTCTGTGAGTTTGAGACCAGCCTGGTCTACAAGAGCTAGTTCCAGGACAGCCTCCAAAGCCACAGAGAAACCCTGTCTCTGAAAAACCAAAAACACAACAAAAACAACAACAACAACCACAAAACAAAAACAAAAAACCCTCCCAAGAAACAAAAACAGAGAAAGATAGAAACAAACAAAAAAACCAACAACAAAGAAAAATCCCACAAAACTATAAATGAAAGTAAAAGATCAAGTTATTTGTCAATATAAAGTTATTTTATATTAAGAAATAAAGGTAAATACCAAAAACTAGAAAAATATTTCAGCATTTTGAACAAAATATTCTAATACCTCTTAGAGTATTAAAAATATCTGAGAATCAGTGTAAAGATGAGCAAAGGACAAATTTGCAAAAAGAATAGTTAAGAATTGAAAAGACTTTTGCAGCATTTAACTTTATCAGTCCCCCAAATCAAAGCATAACAAAGCAATGACGAAATACCATTTTACAGTTAAATGTCATAGATAATATTTACAGCAGCTTAAGATTCAGTACTTTACATGGAGCCGGCAAGGGCATGGTAGAAAGTACAGGGCTACTAAACTACAGTCTATTGTCAAGGCTTTAAGGAAACGGGCACTTCCACATATTGCTGGCAGAATAACAAAGACCATTCCTAAGGAATACTGCTTGGCAATGCCCACCAAAACTACGGACTCATTCAGCCTCTGACCCTCCCACCCAGCTTCTATCGTTTATATTTATCCTGTAAATATGGTTGTCCCTCTGTGAAATAGCAGGGACATTAGAATATTCACTGAAGTAGCATTGATTGTGAAGAGTGTTCAGTGTGCAACAGGACTGTTGAGATGCGCTGTGCTATGTCCATGGTACAGGACTCTAATAGGATATGGAAGCTTTCTGTGCACCCAGCCTTGAATGACTCGAGATTATGAATATAAGTGAATCATGCTAACACTATTTTTTGGCATAAAAGACAAAAGGATAATGTATATACACCTCATTATAGTCTTCAAAATTCCTAAGATTAAGTTTATCACACTATCTAAAAAGATATCATTCTGCAATAAGATTTATAACACTGAAACATATAAATTTCCTAAAGAAATAATGAAGCAAATTATGGTAATACATGCAATAAAATATTACGTCTACTGAAACTCATTGATTGTGAGTTTGGATAAAGATGCTCTTTGCTGCTGGGCATTGGTGACACTCGCCTTTAACCCCAGCACTCGGGAGGCAGAGGCAGGCGGATCTCTGTGTGTTCGAGGCCAGCCTGGTCTCCAGAGTGAGTGCCAAGACAGGCTCCAAAGCGACACAGAGAAACCCTGTCTTGAAAAACACACACACACAAAAAAAAAAATGTTCTTTGCTTAAGCAAAAATGTGACATTAAGAACTCATAGACTATGAGACTATGAATTAAACATGTAATATGGACATGAAGAAAGAAGAGCTAAGATTATCTAAGCAATGCTCAGCACGTAGTCCATGTCAGCTGTGCTCTGGCAGTCGCTCACAGTGGGCAGTGCTTCTCTCCACCCTCTCAGTTCATGTGACTACTATTTCTTTCTTCCTTATTCATACATTCGTTTGTTTATTTGCTGTTTGGTTTGAGTCAGGCCGCCACTGTGTAGCCTAGATTGGTGTTGAACCTGTGGTCCTCTTGTCTCAGCGTCCAGAGAGCTGGGATTTCAAGCCTGCGCTACCACACCCAGCTACTTTTCATATTTTGTCAAATTTCCTGTTACCACCAAGTCTAGTTGTGTCTGGAGAAATAAAAGCACAGCAGAGCCAGGGGTCCATTCACCATGACTCATATAAGGAGGAACTCAGGGCACCATGCCAGAAGCACCAGCCCTATTCTGGAGCCCTTTATGTCCTGAGGGCTTAAGCTTCAAGAAAGGGATTTTTTTTTTAATTCAAAGGCTGAAAAACATTATCGTAAAATTACAATTGGTTCACAAGACATGAATCTAATTCATACGAAAAGATGTAGTTTCTTGGGGTGGGATAAACAAGGAAAAGGAGGAGCTATGTTCATAAAGCAATATTAAGACTGCGTAACAGGTAGCATGGTGGGACACCAGAAATGTGTCAGAGATAGCATGATACAATGGAAAAAGTCTAACACTGAATATGTGAAGTGAGAACTTTAATCCTGGTATCAAACTAAATCTAAGGAGGGTGTTGTATAAACTGATACATAGATCCATATGTTTATTATCTGAAGGACTGGCAACATGAGTAAGATAACAACATAAACGCTGAAAAAAACACAATAAGATGACAACATAAATGCTGAAAAAACACATGTACAAGACAGCCGTGGAAGACAAAATATTATAAAGTACTAAGAGTGGGGTGTGAGGTACTATGGGAGCATCCTAGTTAGCTCTGACTGTCACCTGGAGTCATATGAGAAGGATCTCAATTGCAGGATTTCCCAGATCAGATGGAAAACACGCAGTGCACGTCTGTGGGAGACTGCCTTGATTGTTAATGGCTATAGGAGGATGTGGCCCATTGTGGGCACACCATTCCCTGGGAAGCTGGTCCTGGACCAGCTGAAAGGTAGCTAAGGATGAGGGGGTGAGCCTGGCAGGCATTGAGAGATAGTGCAATCTAGACAGGCTGGAGAGCCAGTACAGAGTCCTCCTTAGAACTGTGCCTGGGATGTTCTCAAACAGCCAGGAGAGAATGGCAGTCAAAGACGGAGCAGTACGGGATGAGGGATGAGGTAAGAGGCACAGAGGCTGGAAAAGGCAGACCCATGGGATATTGTAAGCCGCTGTCAACTGAGTGACTGGATGCTAGCTAGAGAAAATCCCTGATATGCGGAAGGACAAGATTAGAGGTAGGAGAACAAAGGCCAGATGTTGGAATAAGATTGCCATACACGGGACAGCGATGAAATCGCTTGATTTTATTGGGGGAGAAACCGATAACCCAGGGTCAGTGCTCCGAGCATCCAATCTCAGCTGCCTTCCGAGATCCCACGGAACCCCAATCCCGAGAGAGCAAGCCTGTTCCCTCCTCAGACCTAAATCCCACAGGCACCTGTGGCCACGCCTAAACGGGCGTGGTCAGCGCCACATTTACCCAGTAAGATCTCTCCCTACAGCCAGGTACACCAGCCCAGGCAGGGCAGCATGAAAGGCAATGGGTGACTGGAAGAATGACCAGCCATGGGGAAAGAACACTTTAAAAGATTAGTTATGCACATTTTACAAAGAGAATGGGTTTCATGATGACATCTTTATTCAAGTATATTATGTATTTAACCCTTATTCCCCCCTTTCCTTTCCTTTCCTGTTATTCCCCTCTCCTACGGGTCCCCTTCCTCTTCCCAAATAGTCCCTCTTTGACCTTAAGCTTCCATATAGAAGATAATATATATTCTTTTTTCTAGGTCTAGTTTATTTGCCTTGAAATGACCATAATGATATCCAGCTCCCTAAAAATGATACACTTTTGGTCTTCATGGCAGAACTGAAGTCCACTGTGCATATGTGTGTACATGTCATACATTTTTCTCCTATCCTCGTCCCCTCCCGCCCCCCTTTTTAGACGAGGCCTCATATAGCCCAGGCCAGTGGCCTCAAGCTCAGAAGGTAGGATTACAGCTATGGGTCAGGATACCTTGCTTACTTGGGGCTCAGAATTAAAGCCAGGGCTTTCTGCCATGCTAGGCCTGCGCTTCCCAGCTGAGCTACATCCCCAAGCCTACACTGTCTTTACCTACTCATGGACGTGCTTGTATCTCCCTAGTAAAACTGTACTGGCTTAGGGCCGAGGTTGGCTCACACGTTTGGGAACAACGGCTGCTCTTCTAGAGGCCCTGGTTTCACTTCCCAGCACCCACATGGCAGCTCACAGTTGTAACTCCGGTTCCAGCAGATCTGGCTGCAGGAATATGATGCACAGGCACACAGGCAGGCAAAATACCCACGGGCATTAACAGGGCGGACAAACGGGGCTAGCGCCCGCTCAGAAGCACAGATTGTGTGCCTCTGTTAGTAACTTCTCATTGGTTCTTGAAACTGGCCACGGTTGAATGGGTGCACCATGGGAAGTGGTAAATGGCACACATCTAGTGGTAAGCTGGTTGAGCTGCATGCAAATGATGCTTCCTCAAAGAGAGGTGGCTAGGCAGGAGACTCTCACCTCTCACGGGGGAAATAGGAGTACAGACGAAGGCAGATACAAATGAGTCTCTTTTTGCATGAATCAACACGGAGGCTGTAACAATCACTGAGAGGGAAAAAAAAGGGCTTGGGTCTAAAATAAATCCTGCAGGTGGGCACTTGGGCTAGCTCTGCCTGAGAAAATGAGGCAATATTATACAAACGTGAGGTGAGTTGAGTTCAAATAGGGTAGGCAGACAATTCTACTTTAATTGTTTCCTTCTCTCATGTGCATTTGTTTGGCAGCCTGGAAAACAGCCTCTCCACACAGAGGATTTTTGAAGGTTTGTATTTAGCCCTTGATGACAAGGTTCTAAGAAAAACAAGGGGAAACCACTTTTGGAACCCAGAGAGAAAATTCTTTACTGAGACAGGACTCTACTGAAGTAAAGTGCTGTATGTATTTCACTGAAGTGAAATGGTGCTGTATGGAAACAGTAAGTTCTGCTGTACCTGCCCGATGATTGCCTTGGAGCTTCATTTTACATAATTCGGTTTTCAAAAGGATAACTTCCTGGGTTAAAATCATTTTAGTTTCCTCTCTTGGACAAAGTAACTTTCTTAAGTATTCCTGTGGCTTCCCCCAGCAGGGCCTGTGGCTGCTGGGTGCTCTCAGTGTCCCGTCCTGGCTGAGCAGGAGTTGGTGAGCCACAGGCACTTTCTTCTTCTCCTCGGCTGAGTGGAAACTGACAATCCTGCAGATTGGGAGCCAAACTGGAACTCCTTCCATCTGTGTCCAGACGTTTAAGAATTTGGATGGATTCCACAGGAAGGTTTTACAGAGCACTTAATCAAGTGCCCCGGAGGTTACATTTCAGGAAAGCTCTCTTGGATCCAAGACAAAGGCGGGGTGTAAAAAGCGAAAACAAGAGTCGCCTGAGTCAGAGGTCCTTTGGTCTCCTCCTCACTCAAGACTGTGCCTCTCTCCCAGATGAAACAGGTTGGTTCCTTCTTTTTTTTTTTTTCCTCCTTCTGATCTGAATATGCGTTTTTCATTTTTTTTAAGCCTAAAGATTTTGCACTTTTATCTTAGTGTGGGATGGGGGAGAGTTTAAACATTTATATGTGCCAAAAAAAAAAAAAAAACTATTTAAGAATATCACTATACTTTAACCTGCAAGTGAAAATATGAATGTATCAAGAAGAAAATATTATTTTCAATACCATTGCTGATTTGTCAGGGAGCCAGTAGGGTTTACCAGATCATTTCTTTCTGCTCTTTCAAGACAAAATAAATATTTTTGTCTTGAAAATATTTTAAAAGGACTTAAAAGCCTTTCCTGTATATTTGCAGAAGCTTTTCCTATATATTTCCTATATATTTCTGCAAATAATCTCTATTCCTGTTTTGATTTTCTTATTCTGTTGGAAAGTCATACTTTCAAATACTCGTCCTTATATTTATTTTATTTGACTCTATTGCTCTTTATCATCAAGTTCAAGACTTCTGTGATAACAGAGAGGAAAGAACAAAATCATATAGTGTTAATAATTAATGCAGAAACTACGGAGGCTACAGGAGGCTTCCAGTTCAGCTTTTGCAACACCTTAATGACAAAGCAGTCACTGCAGATTGCCACTGCTTCCTTTCTGCATAATAAAGAAAATCCCTCGCTGGGGAGCACCTTCCCTAAGGGAGCACCTTCATGTTATTCATTCAAAGAAGAATTAGCTTGTTAAGGACCTCTTTAGAAACTTTATGTTCTTTTCTGTACTGTTTTGAAAATGCTATTTTCGTGATTGAGTCTGTAAGACCTGAGATTCTTTGAAGGACAAAAATGGCCAACCAAGATAGAGAAGCTAAACAAGAAAAGGTAATAAGAACATTGAAAGTCATTGTAATATTCATATTAATGTTTGTGATTTTAGTGTAAGCTGTTCTCAGTACACCACAGTGTATTAGCCAGTGTGTGACTCCTGAGTTTGAGACAGGAGACCCCTAACATATCCTCCATCCAGTCTCCAATAATAGCTTTATATGTGTTGGCAAAAACTCCAGATTCTGACAAATATTTAATGAACAGCTGGAGTGTACCTGGTTATGCTAATAAAAGCTTCAGTCACAACCAGAAATCAAACTGCTCGCACTTCTGAGAACTTAGAGATACATTTTCTCCACAGGATGGAGTCATTGCCTTGATCAAGGGTGAATCTTGTGGGGAGGAAAACCCAAACTAACTTATTCTTAAGGGAGAGCAGAACATAGTGCTGAGTAAAGGGCAGGTGAGAAAGACAGAGATGCACAGAGAGTCGGCCAACAGCGGGCGACTCAGTAATTACTGTCTTCTGTGCGGGGGTGGGGTGGGGATGGGAGGTGGGCAGGAGGGAGGCTTGAGTACCACTCTAAGGACCCTGTGTTGCTTCTTTCTCCGGATGTGAAGTGCTTCCTGCTACAGAGATAATTGAGGCAGCAGTAGATTGGCAAGTCAGAGGTACAATACCAACCAGCAGTAAGGATGGTTTTCACAAGAAGTTGCTGAGAAGGATGAACAGCAGTCATATTCCAGCTGAAAAGACTGTGTAGTGGGAGAGAGAGAGAGAGAGAGAGAGAGAGAGAGAGAGAGAGAGAGAGAGAGAGAGAGAGAGGGAGAGAGAGAGAGAGAGCACGTGCAAACAGGAAGGCCACAGTGGGTAGACGGCACAAGGACAGGAAATTCTAGAGCCATTTGCAAGGTAAAATCTGAACTTGCAAACCAGGTGTGGTAGCTCACACCTATAATCCCCATACTGGAGAGGCTGAGGTAGGAGGATTGCTAGCTTGGGCTACAGAGTAAGATTCTGTCTCAGAAAACCAAAACACATCAAAATAAAGCAAGGATGTAAGAATGAACGAAATTCCAGACTAACTGGAAACTAGGGGATCTAGGTAATCGAGAAGTCCAGGACAGTGCTAGTTTTCAGCTTAGAGGGACCAGGGAACACAAGTAGTAACAGACTTGTGAGGCAGGCTGACTACATGAGGCTTTCCTGTAGAAAAGTTAACAGTAATGCTCTATACAAATGCCTAGCTAATTTATCTAAATTAAAATGATAGTAACACTAGAACAAAAAAATTAAAACATTCCCTTTTCAAGTAAAAAACCTTATTTTAATTTATTGTAGATATACTCCATAAGACTTACTCTATGAGGGGTGGGTGCTGCAGCCTATGTACAGCTCCAATACTCAAAAGGTAGAGAAAGGATGTGTAGGCCAAGCTGGCTAGTCAGAATAGCTACTGGTGAACTCCAGGTACAACCAAGACTTCACCTCAAGAAATAAGGTAGAGAATAATCTAATGACTCCTAATGTCAACTCCAACCTGTAGAAACATGCACACAAATGTGCCCTCACACCCACCCACATGCATGCAGACTACACACACAAACACATAAAAAAAAAACCCCACAAAACAAAACTCATATTTACTTAAAAGTCTTCAACTTTATCTAGGATTTAGTAACTAAGGGAATCCCTCGGGATATTGTCTCTTGGCCATGGACAAATGCCAGTTCCTGCTCACACTTGTAAGAACAAAGGATGGGGAACTGACTCAATGTTGGCTCCCAATAAAATTTTCAGAGTGAGATCCAGGCTCACATGTGGATCCTCATGCTATTCTCTAGAGAAAACACAAGTCATCTGTTGGGCAAAGCTGCTTCCTTTTAAGCAATGCTGAAGTGAGTGTTTTGTGTTCTTCCCGCCATCCAGCTTGGTGCCATGGCTCTGGAGCAGAACCAGTCAATGGAATACTACTATGAGGACAACGAGATGAATGACACGTATGACTACAGCCAGTATGAAGCAATCTGCATAAAAGAAGAGGTCAGGCAGTTTGCAAAAGTCTTCCTCCCTGCCTTCTTCACAATAGCCTTTGTCATTGGACTGGCAGGGAATTCCGTAGTTGTGGCAATTTACACCTATTACAAAAAACAGAGGACCAAGACGGATGTGTACATCCTGAATCTGGCTGTGGCAGACTTGTTGCTTCTGGTCACGTTGCCTTTCTGGGCAGTTAATGCAGTTCATGGGTGGATTCTAGGGAAAATGATGTGCAAAATAACTTCGGCCCTGTACACGGTAAACTTTGTCTCTGGGATGCAGTTTCTGGCTTGTATCAGCATTGACAGATATTGGGCAATCACTAAGGCCCCCAGCCAGTCAGGAGCCGGGAGACCCTGCTGGATCATATGTTGCTGTGTGTGGGTGGCTGCTATCTTGCTGAGCATACCCCAGCTGGTTTTTTATACTGTCAATCACAATGCCAGGTGCACTCCCATCTTTCCCCACCACTTAGGAACGTCCCTGAAAGCATCCATTCAGATGCTGGAAATCTGCATCGGCTTTGTGGTTCCCTTTCTTATCATGGGGGTGTGCTATGCCATCACTGCAAGGACACTCATCAAGACGCCCAACATTAAAAAGTCCCGTCCCCTCAAGGTTCTGCTCACAGTGGTTATAGTTTTCATTGTCACTCAGCTGCCTTATAACATTGTCAAGTTCTGCCAAGCCATAGATGCCATCTACTTGCTGATCACCAACTGCGACATGAGCAAACGCATAGATGTTGCCATCCAAGTCACAGAGAGCATTGCGCTATTCCATAGCTGCCTCAACCCTGTCCTGTATGTCTTCATGGGTGCCTCTTTCAAAAACTATATCATGAAAGTGGCCAAGAAATATGGATCCTGGAGAAGACAGAGACAGAACGTGGAGGAAATTCCTTTTGATTCTGAGGGTCCTACAGAGCCAACCAGTTCTTTTACCATTTAAATTTAAAACTGCTCTCTGCTTTTTGCTTGGGCACACACACACACACACACACACACACACACACACACACACACACGTGATGTTTCTTCCTCAAATAAAATATTTGTGTTACACTGAGACTCAAATGTCAAATACTAGACTGTTGTTGCAATGTATTACAAAGAAGGAGCAAAGGGTGGGGGGTATGAGGAAGATAGATGCCAGAGAGTAAACGATAAGCGGGAAAAATGAGGAAATTAAAGTTAATGACAGGGAAACAGCATGACAAAAGGGAGAAAGCATAGTGCTAGAAAGAGGAACCCTTTGTGATGGGGGGGGGGATTTGCATCTCGACTGCAGTGATGGCTACTCAAGTCTACATGTGCCACATGTGAATCTCAACTCCTGATTTTGATAGCAACTATAATTATGAAATATAAAGCATTGGCTAATGAGCCCCAGGACCATCCTATGTGATAAGTCACCGGGTAAGGAGCCCCCAGGAGCATCCTATGTGATAAGTCACCGGGTAAGGAGCCCCCAGGAGCATCCTATGTGATAAGTCACCGGGTAAGGAGCCCCCAGGAGCATCCTATGTGATAAGTCACCGGGTAAGGAGCCCCTAGGGCCGTCCTGTACTAAATTTGTAACTTCCTGTGCAGAGACAGCAACTTCAAAATAAAAAGTTTAAAAAAAAAAAAAAAAAACAGCATGCTGCGAATCAGGTGATCTAAAACTAATTAATAAAGAAACATATGTTGAGAGAATTATAATTATTTGTGATTATCTAAATTTTAATAATATTTTGTCTGTAAAATTCCAAATCTTAAATAATCACAACAAAGCTTACTCTATTTTTTATAAGATATAAAATGATAATTATCCCAACCTTTAAGAAAAAAAGGCCAAAAAAACCCCATAAACTTTTCTGAGCTGTTCACAGAGTCTGGTAAGTGCCTATACATGCAATTTGCTTTGATGATGTCACCAAGAAAAATTATCCAAATACATGCTGGATTCATTATGCATATTCTGGAAGCACACCTTAAAAATCACAGTTATCTGGAGACTAATTTTATAACTTCCCCCGAAAAAACAAAAAACAAACAAACAAAAAAAGCCCAGCATTGGTGGTGCACACCTTTAATCCCAGCACTCGGGAGGCAGAGGCAGGAGGATCTCTGTGGTTTCGAGGCCAGGCTGGTCTGCAGAGTGAGTGCCAGGATAGGCTCCAAAGCTACATAGAGAAACCCTATCTTGAAAAACCAAAAAAAAAAAAGAACTTCCCCATGTATGTTGGCCTATTACTGAGAACTGATGAGCAAATATACTATCCTATATATAAAGGATATACTATACACAATATAAAAGATATTAACTGTCATTGAAATATGCATATTTTAGCCAATAAAATAGATATCACATTTACTGTTGTTGCTGACACTTAACACTGAACCCCAAACACATACTAGGCCTGTGTTCTGCCACCACTGACCTTCCCCACAGACTCCACAAGTTCTCAAATTACCTTTTTCTTGGTACTATTTCTAAGTCTGATAATGTTTCAGAGGCTGCATTTAAAGCTGTGATCATGATGCAGTGGCTGGGAGTCAAGGCATTGCTCTAGCAATGGGGTAATGGAACCACGGAGAACACTCACCGCTGCTCCACCACTTCTTGCCATTAACTATGTAGCCATCTCCATCTCGCTCGATGCTACATTCAATGTTTGTGGCATCACTTGATGAGACATTGGGCTCTGTAAAAGAACAACGGGTTGATTAGCGAGCAGACAAGAAAGGGCAGGCTCTTCCAGACAGAGGCACACTGGTTTTTCATTTTATTTGTTAAGTCTTCCCATCTTGCCCTTTTCTCCTTGGGCCTCTCCTAACATACTAACATACACACAGTAAGCATTTGACAAATATGAATTGGAAAGCAGAGGAATGCAGAGTAGGATTAGTACTGACAATGTGTCCTTGGAGCCTTTGCTGATGTCTGAGTCAGGATGCAACTCACTCAACATTTTCCCAGTCACTGCCTTTGAATTTCCACAATGGAAATCTGCTTTAACTGTTGGCAGGCTGGATTTCTCTACTGTCACTAACTACTTTTCTACCTGCACCTTGTAAGTGCAACTGGGGATGTGTCATCCAGGCTACACCGTGTGACATTCAGATCTTCTCATCACTTAGGTCTCCAGAAGGCTTTCTGTGCAACACCAGTAAATATCCTTAAATACTGTTTACTGCATGGCATGTAGGAACCGATGAGCTTTTACCTTGTTCCTATATTGTTCTTATTTTTATTTTGTGTGCCCACATGCTGGAACATGTGTGTATATGAAGACCAGATAACTTCAGTTGTCATTCAACCTCTGGCTTTTTTTCTTTCCTTCCTTCCTTCCTTCCTTCCTTCCTTCCTTCCTTCCTTCCTTCCTTCCTTCCTTCTTTCTTTCTTTCTTTCTTTCTTTCTTTCTTTCTTTCAAGACAGAGTCTCTCATTGGCCTGGTATTAGCGTAGTACTGGGTGGCTGGCTAGCTTGGCTGGCCAGTGAGCTTCATGTATCTTCCTGTAACTATCCCCAGTGCTGTGATTACAATTGTGTGTCATAACATAAGGCTTTTTATGTGGATTCTAGGAATGGAACTCAGGTCTACAGACTAGACTTTTGTGGTAAACACTTTAAAGACTGAGCCATGTCCCCAGCTGTTTGGGATACTTCATGGACTCTTTTTTTCCTTCCTTCCTTCCTTCCTTCCTTCCTTCCTTCCTTCTTTCCTTCCTTCCTTCCTTTTTTTTTTAAGATTTATATATTTATTATGTATACAATGTTTTGCCTGCAGGCCAAAAGAGGGCACCAGATCACATTATCGATGGTTGTGAGCCACCATGTGGTTGCTGGGTATTGAACTCAGGACCTCTGGAAGAACAGCCAGTGCTCTTAACCTCTGAGCCATCTCTCCAGCCCCTCATGGATTCTTTTTAAAGCTCCAGAAGCTGTTTTCAGAGAAAGGGGATGGCAAGTTTATTTTGTGACCTTAGGTTGGTGCTTTGTAAACCTTATGTCATCACACCATTCTGTAGGTGTTCGATGAATACCTCTTGATGACTTAAGTAGAAAGAACTTTTGTTATTATATAAAATTATATATGTGGGTATATAACATTTGTATATTATATAAAAATAATAAAATCTAGCCGGGCAGTAGTGGCTCACTCCTTTAATCCCAGCACTCAGGAGGAAGAGGCAGGTGGATCTCTGAGTTTGAGCCAACCTGGTCTACAGAGTGAGTTCCAGGACAGGCAGAGAAACCCTGTCTTGAGAAACCAAAACCAAAATAAATAAATAAGTAAAATCTGATCGTAAGTGAAAGGTCAATATGAACTTTACATTATGACCCAATCAAATCGAACTTAATTCTAAACTCAAGGTAAGATGTGATTTTTAAAGGAATTTTAAAATTACTATTTCCAGTGTACAAATGTACCAACACCATTGCCATCACGTGTGCCTGGCTTTCTCCTCTACCCAGTGGTTTCAGCAATATTTCCGTTGGTTTAAGTTCTGGTTTTCTAGGATTATGGAATATTTGAGTAGTTTATAGTCATGTAAATATCACAAGGATGAATATCAATGAGCAGCAGTTATAGAAACAACACAATTTAAAAGACATCACCCACTGCTGACGACCAAAAGACAGGGGTATTTAGCCTGGACATTTAAAGATGACAGCATTTCAAACCAGGCCCAGGATGAACACATTTCTGGCTGTGGGCAAAGTTGGCTACACACCACACTGCTTCAAACCATCCACCCATGATAACCCCAGGGTGAAGGGGACAGGAGACAGGGCTGTGACTTGCTCCTACCTGTCATACAGAATGCAGAGGTGATATCGCCACGAAGGAGAGGCTCCAGCCACTGCTTCTTCTGTTGCTCGCTGCCGTACAGGTGCAGCACCTCCATGTTGCCTGTGTCTACATGTGAGAAGAAAGTTGTTTGACATTTAAAGCTATCAGCACTAAACCCACATTTATGAAGATAATACAGACTATACCTTTTCTTCTTTTCTTTTTTATTGTTTTTCAAGACAGGGCTTCTCTACGTAACCCTGGCTGTCCTAGAACTTGCCCTGTAGACCAGGCTGGCCTCGAACTCACAGAGATCCACCTGCCTGCCTCTGCCTCCCGAGTGCTGGGATTAAAGGTGTGTGCCACTACCACCTGGCTCAGACTATATCTTTTTAAGTGAAATGTTTGTTGATGCAAATATTCTAAGATGTACACTAAATTTAATGTGTAATGATGCCATGCTGTGTCACTACAAGCACATGGCATTCAGTTCATTATTTCTTTAACTTTTTCTGCAGCTTGGATGCTGACCCAGTTCATTCCATGGCTTTAAGGAGGTCTAACTCAACTAGGACTGAGGTAGCTATTCCTGGTTGAAAACCTGCCTGCTATACTTGAATGCTATGTCAGGAGTGACTTCCATGTTCCTGGAGAGCCTTCAGCTCCCACGTGCCCATGCTGTTGCTCAGGCACACAATTTGGCTTGGGCCAGGCCTCTGTGAGGGTCTGCTGGTTGTGGGTAAGGACTGCTCATGGGCTACGTTCTCTATAAGAACTTACTCTGAGACACCTCCTTGCTCTGAGCTACAGCAATTCTCCTTTACCTAGCTTGTTTCTGCTGTTTACTCAGTTTGTTTCTGAGACAGGTTTTCTTTGCGTAACCCTGGCTGCCATCAAACTCCCACTTCTGCCTTGTTAAAGCTGAAACTGCATGTCTAAGACTTTAAGGTCTAAGATAGATGTTAATTTGTGCACCCCATTCCTCTGTGAAAGACAGAATCCCTGCTCTGTAAGGAAACAGAAACCCTCAGGGATCCATCCACTCCAGTCACGAGGGGTGCTGTCCAGTACACCACACACTCTACCTTCTGCAGCTGACAAAGCACACTCTGCATTATGAGCACCATGTTCTAGATGCTTTTCTCCAATTTCCATTACTGCAAACTTTTCTTAAGAGTCTGCTTGAATCCTCTTGAGATTTTAAGGAAGATTTTCAGTGTCACTTCCTGTGACTTGGAGGATGGTTGGTCAAATGCTGATGAAAACTGACAGTTCTGATTCAAATCAAGAGATATTTGTAAGTGCTAGAGAAATTGCTCAGGGTTAAGGGCACCTCCTGCTCTTGCAGAGGGCCTGCTTCAGTGCCCACCACACACTCCAAGCAGCTCACAACAGCTTGTAACTCCAGGTCCAGGGGATGCTACACCCTCTTTAGGAGGCTTGCACACATACATGTATGTACACACATAAATACAAAATGTCTTTAAATCTTAAAACCATCCTTAACAAATATACCTTTGCACTCTGTTCAGATACTAATACTGAATCAAGAGGCCCGGAATCCTTAGCAGATCAACACAAACCTAATGAGTGAGGGAGAAAAGTCCTCGGTTATAATTAACAGAATGAACTGTTTGCTTTGTTTGCTTGTTTGAAATCTGGTGTAACTTGTTATGGC